CCAAGGTACCGGATCGGGGCCCACATTCTCCGCAAGTCCGCCTACGATATTCGGGCTCCGCCGGCTTTCAGAAGCTAAGTTTCAGCCAACCCCGCTTGAGTCTAGGTTTAAATTACGTCTTCGCCCTTGCTCCCTCCTGAACGGTGGCGTCGGGTGAACTATTTCACTATCTAAGCATTCTCAATAGCTTAACATCTAGTGGTTCCCTCCATCTTCACACTGCTAGACCCCCATCACTGAAATTCGCCTATCGAAACATTATCACAATGGTGCGCTTCGCCGCTAAGGATATTCCTGACCTCACAGGCAAGATCATTCTCGTTACTGGAGGCAATATCGGCCTCGGCAAGGAAACAATCACCCAGCTCAGCAAGCATAAGCCAGCCCACATCTATCTCGGAGCTAGAAATGAGTCCAAAGCTTTGGCCGCAATTGAGGACATCAAGAAGATTGTGCCAGACGCGGCCCCCATCTCGTTCCTGGAGATCGACCTGACGTCATTTGAGAGCGTCAAGCGTGCTGCTAAGGAATTCCAGTCGAAGTCGCAGCTCCTTCACATCCTCATGAACAATGCCGGCATCATGGCCTGGCCGCCCGGTGTAACAAAGGAGGGCTACGAGATCCAGTTCGGTACGAACCACATGGGACATGCTCTTCTCACCAAGCTCCTCCTGCCGACGCTGCAGCACACCGCCAAGGTCGGCCCCGATAAGGACGTGCGCATCATCTCTCTCTCCTCGGCGGCCGAGAACTGGGTTCCGAGCAATCTCTACAACTTTGACGACTTCAAGACCGACATGGCCTCTACGGGCACCTGGGCGCGTTACGGCGCGTCCAAGGTGGCAAACATTCATCACTCCAAGGCCCTTGCTAAGCGATACCCTGAGATCCGCTGCATCTCAATCCACCCAGGTGCTGTCAATACGAATCTCGTCAGCGGCCCAATCGCCAGCTATCCTCTCGTGAAGCCAATCGCAGGCATCCTCACCTGGCTTGTGTCAACGCCCGTATCAAAGGGTGCGCTGAACCAGCTGTGGGCCTCGGTTAGTCCGGATGCCGAGACCAGTGTGTTCTACTGGCCTGTGGGTGTGAAAGGCAAAGACTCTAAGAACGCACTGAACGAAGAGCTCGCAGAGAGTCTGTGGAAATGGACGGAGAAAGAGCTAGAGCCCTATGTTTGAGGTCGTGTCGCCACCAAGGCATGTGAACTCAATTTGAGCAACGCCGTCGCGGGGAATTCCTGTAAGATCGTATCCATTCAAGTACCTATGAAACACATCATGACATTGTAACAATTGGTCGTAATTCGACTTGTCATTTTCCGAAGACCTTGTTCGTGCTTCAGCCCGCCACTCTGCAGGGTCTTTTCGAACCTTCTTTACCGCTGGAATTGATCGTCTTGCTAGCCTACAGCTGATACTAGCAGTGCAAACACACCGTTCTATCCATAGGACTGGAAGGACATGCCGGAGCGTAACTCAAAGCAGAGCATTGGATCCTAATATGGAATAGGGATGTGAGGCTGTCGGCACTATCGAAGGCCGCAGACGACCCCTGTTGGGCCCCAGTCCCAGAACCACTGGCGCGGTGCTGCTCGTTGGAGTCCAGACCTTCGACAACCCACTTACCGGGGTCCCCAATTGGCTTGATGATCGTCCGGAAACCTCTTGCCCCAGGATTGATTCGTGGACTTGCCGCAGAGATATCCAAATTGGGTTTGCTCAGCTCTGCTAAAGATGGACAAGTTGAGTCTCGGCCGCTCAAATAGGAGCGCAAGTAATCGCCACGCCCACAATCGGTATCTGTCACTAGCACAATTTTGCCGGCGGTCACACACTTTAGCTGCTTCTCGGTCGAATGGTGTCACTGCACTGGTCCACGGCCGAGATCTGATTATCGTTGTGGGAACCATCAAATCCCAAATAGGGAACAAGCTGATGTTCAGCTCAAACTTCGAGGTCCTAGACCGTGGTCCATCGTCAGCATGGAAGGTGAAAACGGTAATTCGGCGGCGTTTGGGGACTGCGACGCGATCACAAGACATATCTGTGGCTTCTACTTCCTGGTCGTACCTCGTCTAGAGAATTAATATAAAATCAAAGGTAAGTCCTCTTACGAGATGTATCTAATAATCTCCTTATCACCATAGTCCCGGCATCACTTATTCTAACAATGGCCGATCAGCAAGAGCCCATCTTCACGCCAGCCAGCGGCTATGAGTCGTTTATTTACATTTACAACAAAACCACAGTCGATTTTGCACTTGACCGGTCGAAAGCCATTTTAGGTTCTTGGGCCAAGGGATGCCCTCCAAACACAATCAAAGCCGGAGCTGAAGCTTTGATTCAACTGAACGACAGCTTTGGTATGTAACAAGACTTTAATCTGGCTACAGGCAACGATTGAGAGCTGATAATGCAATGTAGGATTCTCGGGCAGCCAGGGAGAGGTCGTGTACGAGCTGTACCACCCTTCTGATCCTGACAATGCCCTCTCATTCAAAGTAGAATTCTGTGATCCTTATGGCAGGTGGAACGACAACTATCTGCGGACGAAGTCGAGCAATCCCAAGTTGGTATCTTGCCAAGTGCTGGACTACAACCTCACCGGCCACCCCTTTACAGGTACTATTTCAGTCTCTGGGTCCGCGCCGTCTTTCTCATTGTTAACAAACTTTTCAGGCCATGTTGAGGTCTACTTGGCCGAGAATTCGGCAAACGAAATGTTTGATGACGCCAACTCATCCGACGAGACCAACAGTGACGTTCACGCAGCCTTCGAAATTGGATTCAATGGCCCACTTGGCATCAAGATTCGAGACCCAGTTCATGAAGACATTGCCATCGCCGCCTTCATCGCATCCAGGATGCGCTTTCCTAAGGGAACCGAGTACAACAATCTCGACGCCACCCAATGGGAGTACATGCGTGGTCTCCTTTGGAGCGATGACCCACTATGTCTGTTATTCGAAGACTCTGGAGAGAGCAACAGCGAGCTAGCACTGGGTGAAAAGTTTCTAGGAGACTTCTACGCCGGCTCTCCTAGCAGTCTCACGCAGAGGAGCCACTTTGGAGACTTGCAATTCTTCCACGCAATGGCCGCCCAGTCGAATGAAGATCCGCACGACACCAAGGCAAACATGCTTTCTTGGTTGGAAATCATCTACAAGCTCGCGATCGGTGTTCAGGATGTGAAGGAGACTGACAGCCTTGCTGGCCGATTCCCGACCCGTTTCTCCAGTTACTCTGATCCCTCTGGAGACGCAAGCCTGAGACAGCTGTTCTTGGGCAGAACGCCTTCTTACCGGAAGGCAAACATCTCCAAGCGTGCCTTTGGTCACTGTCTACACATGGTTCAAGATTCGTACGCGGTGGGGCACACACTGCGTCGCCTGTCTAACCCAGGAGATCTGGATGGCAAAGATAGCGAAGGTGAGATCCCTATGAGCCACATCCCGACATCTCGCGCTGACTTGCCCGTCCCAGGCTTCTTCAGGTTCAAGCCCGGCAAGTTTGCCAGACTAGGGCCTATCATCACCTTCCACACCTATTCTGGCCAATCCAAGCGTCATGCGCACTATGATGAGTCTAAGCAACCCCGAAGCCCCAGGGACCTCGACTCCTTCAACCACATCATTGGCGCCCGAGACGCCATCGACAAGTCCATCAAGTTGATCAACTTTTATGCGCAAAAGACGAAGTGGGAGAATGGAGTCCGCGACTTCTTTGCCAACGAAGTATTTGTGCTGGACTCGAATGCCACACTCAGCAACCCTCAAGTCGATGAGAGGTTCGGATCGCCAGATACGAGCAGTCAGTCGACTTTGGAGGCTGACAGGGCGGCTGATGAAGAGTATCAGATGGGTATGGAGAGGAAAATGGCAATGCTGGAGAGCGGCTTGGCATTTTCTGAGCGTGTGTCTCCTGAGCCCCGGTCCAGGTGCTTGGGTCAACTCTCACACCGATGCATGAACCCAATTTTAATGTTCTTAAAGTTGCTTGTTGCGTTCATTGCGATAGCTTGCGCAATGTTCTTGTTCAGGGGGTTCAGGTTGGCTTGAGTCTAATCACTGGGGCTACTAAACCACTGAGAACCGGGCCAACGAATTTCAAGGTGCAATTAGCAGGACCTATTACTGAGCTATCAAAGACCTAAAATACGGAGTAGTTTGAGAGGGTTGTTTGTCTTTTAGCTTCTGTGTCATGAGCTTCGCAACGATCTCGTTGGCTACATAACAATACTTCGTGATAAGTAAGGTAGATCGATAAAACTGTATATTTGGCTTCACGGATCCGAAGTGTGTTTTGAACAACATGATGTCTATCCACGGCTCCATTCTTATCTACGAACTTCGGGCTTTAGCTCGTTTCAATTGTTACGGTGTCTCTATGTCGCGATTCGGCAACAAGTTTGGCATGTTATCATAGTTTTGACGCGACTCAAGACCCATGACCACAATTGTCTACCTTGCCCGCAACAAGGTTCTTTTAACTGGCAGTAATATCATGCTTCGTCCTTCAAAGAAGCAAACTGCTTAGATTAACTCGGGTTTATGTTAACCGTAACTTCGCCTTTCCATGACACCTTAGGCAATTCCTCTCACGAGCAGGGAATAAAGTTTTTGAGGTAATTTCTTCAAATTACAATTCCGTTTTAAATGTTTGGTATGGGCATTTATTTCGATTGATGCGTCAACATTTAATCTTGGATTACTCCGTAACAGTGTGAGTAACCTGCATGGTATGATTATTTGGGCGGCGCAACTACTCCGTACAGAGAAATGATGGAAGCGGTAAAGTAAGTCCCCGGAAAGACATTTCACAGCCACGGAGGGGATTCAACCATAAATACTGGCTCGCCACCTTATGTTTATTGCCAAACTACGGACTACAGAATACTATCGAGATCGAAACTGTTCTGTGAAACAGGCCCTTTGCTCTTTGTAAGAACCCTGCGCCCTGTCTCGTACACTGGTACTCACACCAGCTTTCCATAGCAATATGAGATTTTCATTGTTGCTCAGCATCTTAGCTCCACTTGCCAGCGCTGATGTCGGCACTGCTGGTTCTTGGTCCGTACCCTATTTACCAACCAGGTGTAACGGCAACAGCCAGGATCAATTCCCTTCCAGCAACTTATTCGTTTCTGTTGGTGACGGACTTTGGGACAATGGGGCGGCATGTGGAAGGCAGTATCTAGTGCGGTGTATCAGTTCGCTTCCGCGCGCCTGCAAATCGAGTACGATTCAGGTCAAAGTAGTCGACTTTTCCAACAACCCCGTCGGCAAAAAGTCAGCTGATGCTACCATGCATCTTTCAACCACGGCATGGGCAGAAATTGTCGACACCTCAAAGGGGGCGAACAAGGTCAACATCGAGTTTGCGCAAGTCTAGCGCAAGGACACGTAACGTTCAAGAGAAACACGAAGGCTCGGCACATAATATAGAAACGGTTGCAATTTCTTATCATCACTTTGTGATCGTCAATTTCAACACGGTTTTAGCGACAGGCGGATATTAGTAGCTCGGTATTGGAAATATGACAAGGCTTGATCCTCACGGTGTGGCTCGTCGTATGCCACAGGCAATGCCTTCACGCCAATCAATGCTACGGCCCAGCGCATATAGTCTTGCCTCCCGATCAGTAAACCACAGAAGTCCATTTGTACCGAGACGACATTGATGATAGAAAGAAGTAGATGTGCCACGTGCGTGCTTGGCAGGAGCAGCGTTATTATGAGAGACGGGTGACTGCGACAGGATGCATGGATGTTGTCTTGGATGAGGATCCTGGCCCCGTCCATGCAATCAGCGAATGCTGTTGAAGGATTGGGCAGGCCGGGGTTAGAATGCGGTACACCATATCTTCGCTGCGGAGATTGCAATGCACCATTCGGCAATTGCTGTGATATACATAGTGATATGCGAGTATCATGCTACCCTTCGAATCAGCACTAACAAAAGGCCTTTGGGAAGTCATAAAGCACTTGTAGCTATAGCATGTCGCTTGTAGATAGGATACTTGCCATCCGAAAAATGATGCCCTTTGACAACATTTACATGGATAAGGTCGGGGAAAAGGGCAGAAATTCAGGAACATTCACCAGTCTGTGGGGTCCGAGGAAACACGGCAGCGGGCCGTAGGCTTGCTCTCGGACCTCCTCGTCGCAAACCGGATCGCCTCCCAGTCGCATCTCGGTCTGGTAGGCAACAACTTGAGTGGTTGACAGTGGCCGCTACGGGTCACACCGACTAGGCACGTCGCTTTCGGAGCAGCGCGGCCGAATAGGGCTTCCAGCTCCGGGTGTGTGGGAGACTAAAGACATAATTTGAGGCAACCATCTCTTACGGTCTATTCAGACTTTGCTCTAGAGATGGCCTCGAACAATGGTGATACTGCTTATTTTTGATGGTTGGCTTCGTTCTACACTAGCTCGAGTTCTCCATCGGCATTTGCAAATGCTGTGTTCGGAGAATTAGGAAGCCTGACCAAGATGCACTAACCACCAGTAGCTCATAGTCATCCTTGTTATGTTTACGCGAGTTCAGACGATGCAACATTCGACACAACTGTTCCTGGCTCCGGATCATGATGGGGGCCAGCAGACCTCATGCCTAGACTGCCCCTGAAAGGCCAGCATTTACGGTGTAACCTGGCCACGAGCTGCGGTCCACAGTCCGAGTCTCTGCGTTCTTCGTTTGTACACTGTGATGACATGCCAACTGTTCCTATGTTTAGCTGTACGTTCGCGTCAGTCGTAAGTTGATGGGTCTTTAACTCTCCTTTCCTCGCGTGGCCAGCGGAAACGTTGACGAAATCGCGATGGGTGGAGAAATTGTTGATGGCCGTTGGAACAACTATGGTTCTAGCGCGCCTTTGCGAGAACTCCTGTTGGACAAGACCCAGTTACCGCGTGCGTGCTTTGACGTGGCTGTGGACCTAGCTGTTATGGCCCCCTTGTGGATAGTGACGATCTCCTCTGCCCTTCGTTTGAATTAAGCCATGGGTACGCCGCAGAATCCATCCACAATAAGCCTCCCGATGTCTTATTTCGGTCAATGATCGACCTGTCAAGTCGTCTCGCCCAGGGGCCTCGCCGGGACTCGAAAAGATGAGGCCCATTCAACTGCCAAGTTCCGAATCCTTCAAGCCAGGACCTCAAAGAGTCCGACCCTCCTTGCGACCTCTCCAGATTCGCTACCACCAATCGCTGGTCCCCGTTAAAATTGACTCGTGGAGGAGAACAAGATTTAGGGAGATGAATCGGAACCTTTAATTGTCAGGTGCCCCAAGCCGGATCCCGTCTGGATCCCGCGTTATCGTCTTTTCTGTCTTTCCACAATTGACTCGATTGCAAGATCGACGCAGGACGGATCATGATAGGACCAGGCGGCGATGCGCCCATGGCACTAGCCGTTCTTTGGGGCTTGACGGGTCTTGCTTTCTTCTTCGTGCTGCTGCGGTTGTATACTCGACTTGTCATCCTTCAAGCCTACGGCGTAGACGACCACTTCTTCAACCTTGCTTTCGTGAGTGCCATGGTTTACAGATAACCAAACACAGCTGCATCGCAGACCTTGGCTGACACTTTCATACTCAGTTCCTCTTCGTCGCCTACGATGTCATGCTTACAATCTCCTCCTTCTACGGCTTTGGCAGGAATATCCTAGAACTTGAGATGGACAACGTACCAAAAGCGATTTTATACGAGGCAATCGGCAGCACAATCCTCGTATCCGCCATCGTCGTGTCGAAAGCCTCCCTAGCACTGTTCCTCCTCCGTCTTGTGAACACTCGCCTGCACCAGGTTCTTGTCATCGCCCCCGTCGTCATTTTGTTCCTCATCGCCTTGGCCTCGCTTCTCGTCTTCTGGTTCTCGTGTACGCCGATCAACTTCCTGTGGGACCGGCTGATCCCCGACGGAAGCTGCCCGATCGACCCAGGCCCCATATCGACGGCTGCGGGAGCTTGGAGCGTCGTCGTCGACTTTTGGTACGCCGTTACGCCGTGGGCGTTATTGTGGAACGTTCAGATGCCGAAGAGAGAGAAGTTGCTCATCAATTTGAGCATGAGTCTGGGCGTCATGTGAGTGCTGCCCGCACTGTTGAAGGCATACACCTTCGACATCGGCAGGTTGGAGTGACTTGAAGCTAATGTACATGATAGCGCTGGCGCGTGCGGCATTCTGAGAGCGCTGCAGCTCAAGAACCTGAGCAGTGTGAACTTTACCAGTAAGTCACCCTAACGTAGATCCCGGCCCTGCACTCCCTCCAGTCGCCCTCACGTACCATCATATAAACTTATCGTTAACACGAACACCCAACAGAGGACACGGTTGCCTTGATAATATGGCATGCGGCAGAACTGGCAGTAACTCTCGTCTGCATTGGAATCCCCGTGTGCCGCCCCCTCTTCAAGGGCTGGCTCAGCAAGTGGTCATCCCGAAATGGCAGCAGGCCTGGGCCATACACCAGAGACATGACCGGATCCAACTTGGGGTTCGGTTTGAAGACGATCGGCGGCACCGACTACACCGTCAGGGTCGGGTTGAAGACGCCAGATTTGGACTTAGGAAGCCTCGCGGGTCGAAGCGGCGAGGGACGATTCGGGAGTGGCACGAGGTCTGCTGGAAAGGGCTTCGGCGACAACGAGAGCGTGGACTCAATACTGGGTCCGGATGATCGATACGGCCAGGGGCGGAACGTTGATATCGAAAGGTATTCCAGTGAAGAGGGGAAGGGGGGTAAGCAAAATATTCACGTCTGGGTGAAGTCGGAAGTGGTCGTCAAGTCGACAGCAAGAGACTAAGTAGATACACGAAACGTTGACCAGATGCAATTCGTTATGCGACTTTCACCTTCCCGTCTCAGGTTTTTACTTGCTCGATACACCTCCACTGGGCAATAGACGCTCGTCCCCATCGACAATGCGAGCATGTTTACGTCTCAACCTAGCGACTGACTACGGTTGTTTTTGTGACCATGATCCTCCCAGTCCGTGGGCCATCCAGACCCCCTCGCTCTTCGCCCGTACTGTCATCGGAGCTCCTTTCCGCATTGACCTGAGTCGTCGTGGTCCCCATATTGTAGCTATCCCGACCTCCTGCGGACTTCATGTTCCTCAACTCCCACGCCAGATGCTCTTCGCTTTCCGACATCTGCTTGAAGCCGTCGGATCCAGCGCTGTGTTTATTGTGTAGCCCAGCCGCGCTATTGCCAGTGGTATTGCCGCCAGTCGCATTCGAAGTCGCGCCGTTGCCGCGTCGTTGACTTTGTAGGCTGAGACCCAGCACTCGACCAACCGTACGATCGAAGACGGGACGGAGCATTGGGCTGGATGCCACCATGACAGCGATACCGGCTTGCAAGACGCCGCTGACGCTGGCTATGGCGAAGCCTTTGGTGACGTTGATGAAGTCGATGTTGTAAGCATAGTAGAGTCGCACACAGGAGAAGACAACCGTGCTATCGAGTATGACGAGATGATCAGCTCTTCTTCACGTACAGAGGGATTTGCTAGCCGCCTCATGTTCTTTATCGATCACTGTGAAGAAAAAGAATTGCCGGCCAAAGACTTACATGAAACCGGCGCAGAACACTCCATATAGGGCAATTTTGTGCGCTCGTCGAACCTGCAGCTGGGCAACAAACTTGATCGGAAGCCCAACAATAATGATATCAGTGATGATATCGAAGATCGCTACCGCAGAATACGCCATGGTATGTTTGCCGCAGGTTCCTTGCACACTCGGATTCCATGCCATCTGTACAGGCTGGCAGATGAGAAATCCTATCAGAGCCGTGTACAAAGCCCAGCATACCGACAGCGCCATGGCAATCCAGGCAAATAGCCGGAACGCCGTCGAGTGACCAAAGAAGATGCGCTGGAGCATCCAAGTGATGCTGAGCTTGACGAAGCCTAAGGCCGCGGCGTAGAGGACTTGCGTGGCGAGCGATATTCGAAAGTAGTGGTACTTGTGTTCGTCGCTGAGGTTCCATACATCATGGCCTGCGCCGCCTACTACTACAGCTTCGGTTCGTAACATCAAAGTCAGTGTCCGCTCTCTCGTCGCCTATTTGAGCATTGAAGGGAATCCCTACATACCTAGGATGAAGCATGCTGCCGCACCATAGAATAACAACTCAACACTAGTTAGCGCTGGAGGATTGTCTCAACGTGCCTGATAATTACCTGAGCTGTGAAGTAAAGATAGTCCTCGGTCAAGTAGGGAATCTTCGTGATCTTCCGGGCCCAGACGCGGAAGACGGTCCAGCATGTGGTCAAGCAGAGCATCACCGACGCCGTGGCAACGAGAGTGGTCCCTGACGACGTGAGAGGGGGAAACTTGTCAAGGATGATGGCTGGAGCCGGTGTTGTGCCACCAGCCTGACGA